CAGGGTGCCTGAATGAAACGTAATTGTATACCTAACCCTTAACTGTACCCCACAACTTCATAATAAAAAATAAATAAATAATTTTTTTAAAAAAGCAAATAAAATCTGTAGTTTAAAGAAAAAAAAAGAAAGAAAGAAAAAATACCCAATTTTTAATAAATAAATTTGGGATTTTTGGGGTTCCCCCCCTCGTATAATTAACACCTTGCTAGATTGTACTATAAAAATGGACAAGATTCAGTGCTTCATATTAGCACATGCTCACAAAAAAATAAGTAGTCTTCAGATCATGGAAAAATACTGAAGTTCCAAATAATACATGATTCAGGTTTCTAGAACTGATAAACTTCTCATGAAAGAACAGCTTGTGGTCTTGCCATAGGTAACATGTTCCATCATTCAAACATAGGCAACGGTAAATTCTTAGAAATACCCCACTTTACACACTAGTCATATTAATGTCAGACTTTTATTTTTTATAGATGTATTTTAGTAGCTGTGGGAACTATAGTAAGATTCTTCATGAGTTTAAATTCTTAGCCTTTGGTAAAATACAGATACTTCTGAGATCCTGATGAAAGTTTTGGAGACTATCCCTAGAAAAGTCCAAATATGAACAAACATTACAGCTTGCATTTTATTTCAAGGAGTTCATGAACTCTTAACACGCATTTACAGGTCACAAGGACACCGATTTTACAGAACTGCTTTTTCATATGAAGAAGGTAGCATTTTCACTCTGTACTAAGAGGGCAGGCAATTCAAACAGTTTTCTTGTTGTTTTGGTGGGGTAGGGATTGACTGATGGATTTTCACTGATCCATGTATTCTCTCATCTATTCTTTTTATCAACATCATATAGTCTATGACTGTATAATAGAACAAAGCTAACACAGTACCTGGAAAACAGATTTATGAACCTTGCCATCATTAAAACTATGCTCCAAAGCTAACTACAGCTGGAGACAGAGCCATAGCAGCAAATGCAACATTTGGTATTTATTTACAACCCATACTCTCTTAACACCTAGTCCTACTTGGTGTCAACAGCTAAATCCAGAGAAAACAATATTGCATAAATTTTCTTGTATTCCGTGTATACAGATAACAGTATGAGTACAATGATGACTAATCTAAGAGATCTCTATAGGCAAATGATTCCCATATGTGAAAAGTACCAAATCCTCAAATTTGATCTTCTTTCAATAGAGCTAAAATTCTTGTAGAAGTATGTGAGGCCATCTGGTGGATAAAACACAGAAAAACACAAGTTCTTTGCTAGTTGAAAACAGAGTTTAGGACTCTTCCTAATGACCAGTTCAATATCCTGCTTACTAGACAATGCAGCCTCCTCGAGATTAACAGCCCAATTCTATTACTAAAACACATCTCACACCTATTAGACCTGAAATGAACCATATTATTTTAAGTAACTGACCACACCTTAAAAACAAAAAAGGTTCATAGCCACAAAAATCACAGAATAAAATGGCCCTAAGAAAGTTCTCAGGTTTTCTTCTTCATTACAAATAGTTACATGAAATCAAAAGCCTTGAAGACAGGTGTGTTCATAATTACAACTATACAAAAGTAAGTATTTGATGCACTTAATCTGGAGAGCTATCGACCCTGTTGGACAGAAACCACATATTAGTCACCTCTGCAACATCCTCAGAACCAAGGAAAATTTTTGACATATAGCACATGCTCAGAAATTACAACCTGAATGAAAACAAATCATATGACACAAACCTTATCACCCTACGAATAAACATAAATAGCTTCAAATTTCACTCAGGTACCTTTGGTGGGTGCAGGCTGTATACTGATAACTGGTTGTTGCTTTGCCAATGGCATAAGTGTTGGTACTGTCTGAATAATGATGGTTTTCACTGGAATGCTGGAGTTTGTTTGAGTCTTGGGTGCTGCTGGAAGCAATAAAGGCTTGGGCTGAATGGAAGGTTTTGAATTCAACGGAATTTTTTTCTTTGGAGTTAGTCCATTTTCTGAAGGAAAAAAAACAGACACACCATAAATCAATCTGAAGGTAATTAAGCAAATCCTAAAAACAGATTCAATTATACACCTTTCTCTACACATTATCTAGACTTCTGTGTAACTATCTTTAAGTAGAGTATAAGCATAGTTACTCTACATATATTTGAATGGACTGAAGAAAAGACCTGAAACTGAGATCTTTCTTTTTGATCAAGCGGCAGTTTTGGTAAAGGGACACATGAACTGGTAAAGGATAACAGCTAAAATTACTGAATAAAGCCCAGAGATTAATAAGTTAACAAATATCACAGGTCCTCATATTCAGTATCTTTAACTGAAATTTTAAAATCTCTGCTGAAGATTAAAAGGTCTGAACCATTTAAAGAATCTTTTACCTATAAAGAGAGACAAGCAAAGAAGATTATTTCTTTCCTTTCCTCTCCACAATAATCATCCATAACAAACAATAAAGATCCACTAATTTAAAAACAGCAAGCCAGATTAATAAACATATGCTTATTGCAACATTTTCTTTTAAGCTCAGTCTGAAACAGAAAAAACAAAAGTAAGGATCTTGAGTAATACCAGTCTTGTTCCTAGGACCAGTTACAGACTTATCTTCTGTCAATGTCTCTGCTGAGGAAGGACTATTACAGCTTTCACCATATAAGGAAAGGGGAGACATCTGGGAACTAGAAGACAAATCCAACTCCTCCTGTAGCAAAATAAAAACAAAAATTAATAACTATAATCCCTGAGTAGCAAACTGCATAGAGAGGTCATATGTAACAGAAAAATACTTCAAGATAACTTCAAAAGGTGTAATATATTAGAAACTATATCTCTATATTAAGCACTAAGTGACTATGAATAAGTCAACAGTATCCATCAAGACCAAAGGAAAAATAACTCAAAACGTGGAGCAAGTCTACATCGACTTTTTATATTAAAGATATAAGGCCGGGCTCAGTGACTCAGCCTGTAATCCCAGCACTTTGGGAGACCAAGGTGAGTAGACAGATTGAGCCCACAGATTCAAGACCAGCCCGGGCAACTTAGCAAGACCTCGGTTCTACAATAAATAAAAAATTAGCCGGGGTTGGTAGCACACGCCTGTAGTTCCAGTTTCTTGGAAGGCTGAAGCGGAAGGATTGCCGGAGCCCGGCAGGTCAACACTGGGGTAGTCGTGAGTGTACCACTGCACTCCAGCCTGGGTGACAAGACTGAGAACTCAAAAACAAAAACCAAAAAAAACCAAAAAAACAAAACAACGACAAAAGATATAAATCATTAATCTGCTTCTACATTTCCTCCCATGAACTTTATATATTATTTGGTTCCTAGTCATAAAATATTTAGTATCATTTTAAGGCTACAGTTAGAATGCCAATATCCTTTCCCCATAATCTCTTCTATTCAGTTTTAAAAGAATATCAAAAGCAAAATTATTCTATTTTTATCTGTATTGACTTATTAATACTGCCTTTGTTCCAAATGCTGTAAAAGAAAGATGAACACTGAAAGGAGCAGTGTTATTTAATTTAATGAGCAAATTAATAGTAACAGAGTTAGATATATAAGATAATGTTAATATTTTCCATAAGTCTTTTACTAATAATATTCAGTGAATCTGTCTTGTTTTGTTAAAATAAAGATATGTAACATAGGATAAAAATAGCATTTTAATTTACAGAAAAAAGATGTACATTTCATAATGGAATAGGCAGAATCTCTACTTCATACCATCTTCAAAATAATGTATAATATTATTAAAAGAAAATATAAGAGATTACGTGTTTATTCTCAGGATGTCATAGGCTCTCTTAAGTCAAAACACCCAGAAGTCATAAAGAAGAAACAGATTTTCACAAAGAATAATTAAAATATTTAACAATAAAAACAAGACTATAAAAAGTTAAAAGATATAAATGGGGAGAAAATATTTGCCAAAAATGAACAAAGGAAAGGAACAGTCATTTCACTGAAAAGGAAATCTGAGTGATAGCCAAAGGCAAATCATAAGAAAAAATTTAAATGACCCAGACAGCATATGGAAGAAATGGACACTGCAGGTCTCAGTGATGGGAGTGAGAATTGCTTGTTCACTGCTCCTTAACACCTACTCAGCATATAGCCAGATGTTGAACTACACAAACCTTGCAAAATATATTACATTTGTCAGAAACCAAAAAGAGGCTGGGCTTGGTGGCTCAGTCTGTAATCCCAGCACTTTGGGAGGCTGAGGCAAATGGATTGGCTGAGCCCGTGGGTTCGTCTCTACAATAAAATAAAATAAAATAATAGCCAGGCATGGTAGCACGCGCCCATAGTTCTGGCTACTCGGAAGACTGAGGCAGAAGGATCGCTGGAGCCCAGAAGGTTGACACGGGGGTGGCCGTGAGCATGTGTGCCACTGCACTCAGGCCAGGGCAAAGGAGTGAGCCTCTAATATCATATCACATCACATCACGTAACATAACATAAACCAAAAAGTACATGAGAACAACACAGTGACTATTATCTGCATGGCCTTAGATGCTTAAAAGGTATTTGATAAAATTCAACAGATATTCCTCAACAAAGTCCCAGGAAAAAAGGATTAGATGGATACTTTCTTACATTAAAAAAAAAAAAAAAAAGCTATACAGCCAAACCCATACTTAATGGTGAAACACTAAATGCACTACCATTAAAGTCAGGATAAGAAATAGATACTTGCTCCTACTACAATTCTAATAATTATACTAGAAAATGAAATTTTTTAAAAAAGCATTAACATAGAAGAATAGAAGAGACATAAGTGCTTTTTTTGCAAAGTGATACACTATCTACTAGGGATGAACTTAACAAAGAACTGAAAATATATTTGACTATGAAAATATTATATTAATAGTCACCTGGAAAATAAAAATTTCACAATAGTAATAACAATAATAAATACTGGAATTTTCTAAAGAATGTGCAAGGTCTATATGAAGAAAACTGCAAAAGTGAACTGAAGCCGGGCTCGGTGGCTCGGCCTGTAATCCCGCACCTTTGGGAGGCTGAGGTGAGTGGATTGCCTGAACCCGTGGGTTCGAGACCCGCGTGGGCAGCGAGACCTCATCTCTACAATAAATAAAAAAATCAGCCAGGCGTGGTAGCACGTGCCTGTAATTCCGGCTACTTGGAAGGCTGAGGCGGAAGGATCTCTGGAGCCCAGCAGGTAGAGGCTGCGGTGGCTGGGAGCGGTGACTGCACTCCAGTCTGGGCGACCGAGTGAGACGCCAACTCAGAAAAAAAAAAAAGTGAACTGAGAGACATAAAAGAAAATTTGAATAAACAGAGACATATAATATTCCTTAATAGAATCATTATAAAGATGACATGGCTAGGAAAATTGGCTTACTTATATAGAGAAAATGAAAACTAGATCCCTACCTAACACCACATACAAAAGTAAACTCTAAAAGTATGAATAAATTTAAATGTGAAAAGCAAACAATATAGTGAATAGAAGAAAATGCAGGGACATATCTTTGTGACCTAAAAGCATAGAAGAAGAATTTCTTACAACTTCAAAAATAAATCATAAAGGAAAAAAAAAAAAAGATGAGTCTGAGTAATTCAAAATTAAGTATTTCTACTTAAGAAAGATTACAAAGTTAATAGAGAAAAGGGAAAAATATAGGCAATGTCTAAATCCAATGAGAGTTTAATATCTCAAATATGCAAGGAATTACTGCAAATACACAAGGAAAGACAACAACTAAGTAGAAAAACTAGCAAAGGGCAGGAATGAATGATTTATAAAAGAAAAAAAAAAGTCCAAAAAGCTAATAGGAATGTAAAGAATTGCTGAAGCCAGGCTCGGTGGCTCAGCCTGTAATCCTGTGCCTTGGGAGGCTGAGGTGAGTGAATTGCCTAAGCCCACGGGTTTGAGACCTGCCTGGGCAACTTGGCAAGACCTCATCTTTACAATAAATCAAAAAAAAAATCAGCTGGGCGTGGTAGCGCATGCCTGTAATTCCGGCTACTCGGAAGGCTGAGGCGGAAGGATCACCGGAGCCCAGCAGGCGAGGCTGTGGTGGCTGGGAGCGGCCACTGCACTCCAGTCTGGGCGACAGAGTAAGACTCCAACTCAAAAGAGGAAAAAAAAAGAATTGCTGAAAACAATCAGTGACCAAAAAAGTGTAAATTAAAACAAACAACAAAAACATTATGCCAAGAAGCAAAAATGAGAAAGCCAGACAATGCCACGCATTCACAGAGAAGAGAATTTACAGGGATCCTCAAGTACTGCTGATGGCCTGCAGAGTACCATGGTGATCCTGGAGGGCAATATGCAAGCACTGTCAAATTAAATATCTGCACACCCTATCACCCAGCAATCCTATACCTGGGCATACATCCCAATGGAATTCTCACACAGATCCACATGGGAAAATTTTTTACAATCTTCACTGTGGTGTAAGTAAAATGTAGTGAATGTATTATTGAAATGTTATGCAGAGTTGACTGCAACAGACTTGATGTATACAAAATGAATCAACCTTAAAAATGCGATTTTTTTTTTTTTTTTGAGTTGGAGTCTCACTCTGTCTCCCAGGTTGGAGTTCAGTGGCATACTCATGGCCACTCCAGCGTTGACCTGCAAGGCTCCGGCAATCCTCCCACCTCAGCCTTCCAAGTATCCAGAACTACAGGCATGCGCTACCACACCCAGCTAATTTTTGATTTATCGCAGAGACAAGGTCTCGCCAAGTTGTCAGGGCTGGCCTAGAGCCCGCCAGCTCAGGCAAGAAACATGATTTTTACAAAACAATAATAGAGATTGAATAAGCATAACTGACATCAGCGAGAAAAAAAATGAACTTTTTAATAAACGGTACTGAAATAATCCTTCTGAAAAGCATTTGGAAAAACATAAAATTGAATCTATATCCCTTCATCTACAAAGAAAATTTTAGTATTTGGATCAGGGATCTAAATACTAAAAATACAACCTTGTGATAAATATGCATTAATAGTCACTTAGAAATTATTCCTTCTTGAATAATTTTATCCCAAGTCACTAGATGGGGCAGAGCAAGACCACTATCTATGCAGAGAGGCAGCCCAGCAGAGTGTCAGAGTCCCAGGGGATACAGGATGCATTCGCATGGGGGGTAGTCTGTCATGAGAAGTCAGAGCAGGTTGATGAGGGTGCGACAGCTTGATGTAAGGATGTCAGAGCGCAATGGAGACATATTAAAAGAACAAAAGAGCTGGTGTGAAAAGACTCCCATTGTCCAAATCCAGGACAATGCAGGAATGAAACCAAATTATTACAGTAATGAATCTGTTGAAAAAAATAAGAAATGAGTCCATACTGGTATTAACAAATATAGGAATAAACATAAAATTTGATGAGGAATAGGATATTTTTATGTAGTTTTAAAGTATCTTCCCCACAAAATACTTATTTATGGCAAAGAGAGAAAGAACAACCCCATAGGAAAATAGTCTCTCAAGTGATCACAGCAAACATAACAATATTAAACAAACTGAATTGTGTCATCAAAAGTAAATAAGATGGATGCACCATTTCTGTAGTACTAGGCATTTCTAAACTAGAGCAATCATTCTCGGTCCTATGGCTAAGGAGTTATAAAAACTGACCATCTTACATTCTTCCATTCCTCAAAGAATGAATATTCTGGTAGGGAGAAAAGACATTAAGTCAATAAATAAAAATAAACTGAATAGTTGTAAAATGCATGAAGCAATGAAATTACAGAGGCAAGAACACAGGGGAAGGACGGCAAAACCAGAGACACTAACAACTTTCTAGCTCCTACAAGGCCCTTCCCTTGAGTCTCAGTTTCCTTGGGATTAAATGAGATAATAAGGCACTTAACACATAACAACTGCTTCCTCCACATACATATTTTCCAGGTAGCATTATTAACAAAATCATTGTAAAAGATTGGGCAACCCCTTCAGGTCCCCTCCCACTGTGGAAACTTTTCTGTTCTCCCAATAAATCCTGCTTTCTCACACACAAAAAAGATTGGCTACTTACAGGAACATGCTGTGTTGAAGAATAAGAGTCCACTGACTGAGGAGATGAGACTGAACAACTTGAGGAGGTTGGAGAAGGTGGCTGAGCTTCTGCCTTAATGTCTTTAACTGAAAAACAGGGTAAAAGTTTTTCCCACTGGACAATATAAACTGAGAATAAAATGGACAAGAAAGAAGGTAAAATCTACTGTTAAAATTCAGTCAGATATGGAAGCAATGGTCACCAAAATATATCAAGTGAAAATGCAAGATACAGAAAACAGTATACCTAGTATGCTTCCATTTGTGTAATAAATTGTGTGTGTGTGTGTGTGTGTGTGTGTGTGTGTGTGTGTGTGTGTGTATCTACTTGCATCTGCATTAATTCTCTGTAAGGGTAAACAGAAGAAATTGGCAACAGTAGTTGTCTCTGGAGAACAGAATTTGTTGGCTAAGGAATAAGAGCAGAAGGAGACATTTTTCTACTATATAGACTTCTGTTCCTTTTGAATAATATACCATATGCAAATGATTATAGATTCCCAAGAACTTAATTTTTTTTTTTTTGAGTTGGAGTCTCACTCTGTCGCCCAGACCGGAGTCCAGTGGCTGCTCCCGGCCACCACAGCCTCGACCTACTGGGCTCTGGCGATCCTTCCGCCTCAGCCTTCCAAGTAGCTGGAACTACAGGCATGCGCTACCATGCCCAGCTAATTTTTTGATTTATTGTAGAGGTGAGGTCTTGCCAAGTTGCCCAGGAGCGTCTTGAACCCACAGGCTCAGGCAATCCACTCACCTCAGCCTCCCAAAGCGCGGGATTACAGACTGAGTCACCGAGCCCGGCTGAACTTAATTTTTAAAAATATAAGAAACAGGAAAAATTATTTTGGAAAGCATTTCTGACATACAATTCAAACTCAAGGCCAGGCTCAGTGGCTCAGCCTGTAATCTCAGCACTATGGGAGACCGTGGCAAGTGGATTGCCTGAGCCCATGGGTTCAAGACCAGCCCAGGTAACTTGGCAAGACCTCGCCTCTATAATTAACCAAAAATTAGCTGGGTGTGGTAGCACCCGCCTGTAGTTCTGACTACTTGGAAGGCTTAAGCAAAAGGATCATTGGAAGCCCAGCAGGTCAGGTCGACGCTGGGGTGGCCGTGAGTGTGCCACTGCACTCCAGCCTGAGCGACAGAGTGAGACTCCAACCCCCCAAAAAAACTCAAAAATATGTACGTGTCTTTTGAACTATTAATTTATCCTACAAAAATTTGCCAGTACAGTGGCTCATGCTTACAATCTCAATATTTTGGGAGGCTGAGGAGGGAAGATCTTTTGAGACCAGCAGTTCAAGACCAGTCTAGGAAACATAGCAAGACCTCCTCTCTACCCCCCACCACTCCCCAAAAATTAAAAACACCAGCCAGGCATGTTGGCATGCACCTGTAGTTCCAGCTACTCAGCAGGCTGTGGCAGAAGGATCATCTGAGTCCAGGAGGTAGAGGCTGCAATGAGCCATGATCATGCCACTGCACACCAGGCTGGGAGACAGATTGAGACCTCAACACAAAAAAAAAAAAAAAAAATGTACTGAGCAACTATGGCTCAAGCAGTGCTTCTTGGTGTCACCGATCTAACAGGAAGAGGGTAGGAGGGTGTTTTCCAGATTTAACTACAAAATATCGACTATCCTTCATGATCTTCTATAATGTGATCTTGCCACTTCCCCATCACAAAGCTGAGTCTATTTCACCTCCCCTTGGATTTAGGTAGGCTTATGAATCCTTCAATCAACAGAGAATGGCAGAAATGCTATATGAATTCTGAGGCTGGAAATGCAGCCTTTGCTTTGTGTGCTGGAACACTCACACTTGGCGCCTCTGAAGTCTGACTATACTAAGACCACCATGATTTGAGGAAGCCAAGCTTCACTGAAAGGCCCTGTGAGGGTACTACAGATGGCCGTCCTAGTCTTCAAGTTTTCCCAGCTGAGGTACCAGATATGTGAGTGAAGAAATCTCAAGATGAGTCTAGCCCCCAAATGTCAAGCTATTCCAGCCTTCAAATCTCCCCAGCTGAGGGCTGGAAATCGTGAAGCAGAAATAAGCCATCCCTGGAGCACACAGTTCAAATCTTTGACTTACAGATTCTAGAAACCTAACAAAATGGTTGCTGTTTTACGCCACTAAGAATTAAAGTTGTTTGTTATACAATAGTAAGCAGAACACTAACTTTGTGTGTACCCTTCTTCTACGAAGAAACACAGGCATTAAGCAAGATAAACAGATAAACAAATGAAGAGAAATAAGAAGAGCAGGGATAGGGAGGATTTTAGATAAAGGAATGTGCTGGTTATTTATCCATTTCTCAGCTCCAAATCTACCTTCTATAGTCTATGATTACAAATTATTAATACATTTCCCAGCTAGCTTCCTTTTTGGGTACTGTCAACTGTGAATACTGAAGGATGCTATAAAGTAGGAGAAGGGATTTTCCTCATTCTCCCATCAGCTTTACCCTAGCTGTGGCAAACTGCTCCAGCTTCCAGCTTCTTTCAGTATACTACCACCTTATCAGGCCCCCTTAAAGATACTAGCCTCAGCCAAGCAGCGCCCACTCCCCAGAAGTGTGCGTCAAATGCATGGGACTCCACGAATTTCCTAGGTTCTGGTGACCCCAGCCTTTGATTTTCTAAGCCCTGCCTAGTCCCCAGATAGGTTAATCTCTTATAAAAAAATTATTCATAAATCAAAATCATAATTTCTATTTCTGATATGAATTATGTATTCACTACCAAAACATAACTGTGAAATTCTTTTTCTAAATTATATATTTTAGAAATGTGGGCTATAAGTGAGGACTTACTATATAAGTAAGTTACATGCAAATGAAGGTTGGGCTTCAAATTAGCTCTCTCCTCCTTAATAGTGGATCTGGTACCCAATGTGTTGCCAAGTACCCCTACCTCCTCCATCCTTCCTTCCCCCAGCAGTGTCTAACATCTACTGATTCCACTCTTGTACTCATGTGACCAGTGATCATAACTATGAAATTATTTATATTCATTCTTGGTAAGAAATTTATTTATGCATTGCCATACAAGAAGTAGGATATATAGTCCCTGAAATTTTTTAACTCACCAATATAGTCCAACAACCCCACTTAATTTTGTGTATTACCAAACTACAAAATAAAAATGGATCCATTCAAAGCTGTTACCACTAAAACACATTATTACCTGTACAGAATTGGTTGTTGATGTCCCAAACGTCTGACTCCCAAGGTATTAAATCAAAATCAAAGTCAAGATGATCAAAATTATTTTCCTGTAGGTTTCAAATCAACAAAAAATTAAAATAATATGATCTATATCTTAAAATCAAAGTATCAAACACAAATTGTCATAAAAAATACAATTGCTATTACTCAACCTAGTAAAAAGGATTAAGTCAACCAGTTCATCCTAGGAATAGATCTTGGATAGCCTATAGATATAGCAGCTCAGTTATTTGAAGCAAAGCAGTATCAACTAGGAAGGAGATAATATATTCAATATCTAAAAGATCCAGGTAGCTTAATTATTTTCTATGGGAACAGACCATCAATATAAATGAAATCACAAATTGTGTCTTTTATCATAAGGAATATCCCCAAATAAATTTTCCCACTGCCATTAAGGAAAACAAGTCAAAGCAAATGGCTATTCATAACATCATCTCTACACACAATGGAAAAATATACATATAACCAAAAGACATGTAGACATTATAAAGAGGGCAATTACAAAAGGTTAATTTACTTTTTTCTACTGTTCTATACTTTTTAAATTTTTTATGAAATTTAAAAGAAAGCCAGGCACAGTGGCTCACACCTGTAATCCCATCATTTTGAGAGGCTGAGGTGGGAGGACTGCTTGAGCTCAGGACTTAGAGACCTGCCCAGGCAACATAACAAGACCTTATCTCTACTAAAATAAAAATATAAAAAATTAGCTGGGCATGGTGATGCACACCTGTAGTCCCAGCTACTTGAGAGCCTGAGGCAGAAGGATAACCTGAGTCCAGGAGTTGTAGGCTGGAGGCTGCAGTGAGCCAAGATCATGCCACAGTACTCTAGCCTGGGTGACAAAATGAGACCCCAACTCAAAAGAACCCCAAAAAACCAAAAAAAACCCCAAATTTTTAATCCTAGAAGAAGCTGCTCAAACAGGGGTCAACACCTCTTTGAAGGTCCATGAGTTTCTTTGCATTTAGGTATTAATGTTTTTTACTTAAATATAAGCATCTGCTGGATTATCTAGATGACCACCTTATACTATATACATAAACAAAAACCTGCCACATGATTTCGGAGCCCTCATGTAAGTCTGAGATCAAGACAGTACCTAAAAGTACTATTTTTTTTTTTTTTTTTTTGAGTCAGAGTCCCGCTCCATTGCCCAGGATGGAGTGCAGTGGCACACTCACGACCACCCCAGCGTCAACCTGCTGGGCTCCGGTGATCTTTCCACCTCAGCCTTCCCAGTAGCTGGAACTAGAGATGCAGGCTACCACACCCAGCTAATTTTTTAATTTATTGTAGAAACGAGGTCTCGCCAAGTTGCCTGGGCTCAGGCAATCCACTCGCCTCGGTCTCCCAAAGTGCCGGGATTACAAACTGAGTCATTGAGCCCAGTCCAAAAAGTACTATTTTAAAATTAAGTGTCTGGGGTCACAGAGACAAGAACAGAAGTGAACTTAATATATAAACAATGCAAAAAAAACCCAGATGAGTCAATATTAACTTAATGTCACAGATGATAAAACAGTAATAATAGAGAAAATAAGCTTTAGGCAAAAAACAATTATCTAGTAAATGTTAGCAAACATTTGTTAATAATTTCTAGAACAGTATTATCATTTCAAAATGACTATTATATGGTTTATTTTTATCAAGACTGCAACAAAAGATGGGAAACTGTTTTCTTATCATACTGCCCATAACTGAGTAAATAGTAGTACAAGGTATACAAAGAACATATGTAAAAGTTCACATGAAAAAAAAACCAAAAACGAAAGCACTTAAATCATAAAAGAACCACTTTTAAAAAACCACTCTCTTTTACTTTTTCTCTTATTTGAATCTACACATCAAAAAATTAAACAGCCCTGTACTTTTAGCAACAAACAAAAAAATACTTAAACTTTTAATCTAAGTAAATTTACCAGTGGTGCTTGCCTGAGTACTAGAAGAACTTTTAAATACGGGCATGGACAGGTACAGTGGCTCACACCTGTAATCCCAGCACCTTGGGAGACCAAGGCAAAAGAACTACCTGAGCCCAGGAGTTCAAGACCAGCCCAGGCAAGACCTCATCTCTGCAAAAAAAGTGAAAAATTAGCTGGGCATGGTGATGCAGACCTGTAGTCAGAGCTTCTTGGAAGGCTAAGGCAGAAGGATTGCCTGAGCACGGGAGCACGGGAGGCCAAGGCTGCAATAAGCTATAATCATGCTACAGCACTCCAGCCTATGCAACAGAGTAAGACTTTGACTAAAAAAAATACACATACACACACACACACACACACACACACACACACACACACACACACACAAACACACACACAATCTACTTCTACTTCAGGGAGCTTCTGATTTAATCTTCAGTCAAATAAATCAAATACCTTTTACATCATAAAGATTTTATCGGGTCGAAATTTAACAGGCCTATTTTATGCAAAGTGGGACATATTGGCAATTATATACTGTAGCTCTTCAATGACTTATCATGGGAAATTCTACCACCAGGTGGAAGAAGGATGACACCAGGGCTCTCATGCAATACTAGAAAAACTGAGGAACTGAAAGATTGAGTGGCTTGCATAAAGCAGAAGAATGTTAGTTACAAAATCAGGATAATTTTTCCCCAAATCTTTCAAATATAACACACTGTTTCTTTTAGGATCTAGAGGTCATGAAAGAATATCAGTTGCTTAGTCAACTAGATATTATTAAAAGTCAATTTAATCAATAGGCCACATTCTAAAACAGTTCACAGAGTAAATGAGAACATTAAGCTCCCATACGTTGATTTTTTAAAAAAATATCATGTACTTCAGTCTCTTTTACAGCTGCTAAATCGTTATTTGAGAAATATCTGATATTCGTTGAGCAAGCATCATATATTTCTTTTTTTTTTTTCTGAGTCGGAGTCTCACTCTGTCGCCCAGGCTGGAGTATATTGGCACACTCACGACCACCGCAGCCTCAACCTCATGGGCTCAGGCAATCCTTCTAACTCAGTCGTCCAAGTAGCTGGAACTACAGGCACATGCCACCATGTCTGGCTAATTTTTTTATTTATTATAGAGACGAGATCTTACCAAGTTGCCCAAACTGGTCTCAAGCAATCCTCTCACCTCTGCCTCCCAAAGTGCTGGGATTACAGGTTTGAGCCACTGTGCCTGGCCTCTTTATAAACTTCTATACTCAATAAGAACTTAAAATGATGTGATATTCAATCTGGTCAGGTGAGGTCGGTTCATGTCTATAATCCCAGCACTTTGGGAGACTGAGAGGGGAGGATTGCTTGAGCCCAGGAATCCAAGATGAGCCTAGGCAACATAGCAAGAACTCATCTCTACAAAAAAATCAAAAAATTAGCATGGTGGAGTACATGCCTGTAGTTCCAGCTACTTGGAGAGACTGATGCAGAAGGATCACCTGAGCCCAGGAGGTCAAGGCTGCCATGAGCCATGATTGTGCCATGGCAGTCCAGCCTGGGGGACAAAGTAAAACTCTTTTTTTTTCTTTAATTTTTATTTTTTTGAGTCGGAGTCTCACTCTGTCGCTCAGGTTGCAGTGCAGTGGCATGCTCACGGCCACCACATCCTTGACCTGCTGGGCTCAGGTGATCCTTCTGCCTCACCCTTCCACGTAGCTGGAACTACAGGCAAGCGCTACCACATCCAGCTAATTTTTTATTTACTGTAGAGACGAGGTCTCACCATGTTGCCCAGGCTGGTCTCGAACCAGTGGGCTTCGGGCAATCCTCTCACCTTGGCCTCCCAAAGTGCTGGGATTATAGGCATGAGCCACCGCATCCAGCAGAGGAAGACTCTGACTCAAAAAAAAAAAAGAAAGAAAAAGAAAAAAATTCTATCTGATTGATAGATTGACTGATAAATTGCCCTGTTCACTCAAGTTACTTCCTGAGACAACACCTCATTCACTAAAGAATAATACAAACTAAGAGTTCTAGAGGCCAAACACCTTCACATGTACTAATTGGGAAAAGAAAAATACAAAGAAAATCTAAGATACTTTTGATGACTAGGCATGTTGTAATAATAGCCTTTACATAGATCTCTAAGCAATCAAAGGCAAAAAGTAAGGATATACCTAATTTTCAGTGTTTTCTACGCTAAAAATATATAACTTTTAAAAAGGAAGTTGGTTAGCCAGGCACGATGGCTCAGCCTGTAATCCTGCGCCTTTGGGAGGCTGAGGTGGATTGCCTGAGCCTGCAAGTTCGAGACCCTCCTGGGCAGCGAGACCTCATCTCTACAATAAATCAAAAAATCAGCTGGGCGTGGTAGTGCATGCCTGTAATTCCAGCTACTTGGAAGGCTGAGGCGGAAGGATCACCGGAGCCCAGCAGGTCGCCACTGCGGTGGCCGGGAGCGCAGTCTGCACTCCAGTCCAGGCGACAGAGTGAGGACTCCAATTCAAAAAAAAAAAAAAAGAAGTTGGTTAAATCATGAAATTCACAACAACCTGGATAGACTTAAAAGAGTCTATAATACTGAGGGATCTTTCACAGAAACAAAGAACTGAGTATCACATGTTCTCACTCATAAGTGAACTTTGAATAACTGTCGTAAAACTATAAGAAAAGGATTGGCAGTAGCGGGAAACTGCAGGGGTGTGGGGGGTGGAGGGGTGGTGCAGGGAGGCAGGATTGGCAGTAGTGAGAATCTGCCTGGAGAAGGAGGGCACGCCTCATTAACTAGGATATCTGCATAATGAATATTTGTATACCTAATCCTGAATTGTACCCCAAATCTTTAATAAAAAAATGAAAAGTTAAAAAAAAAAGGAAGCTGGTTAAGTTCTACTTTACTAGGTCATGACCCACATATACCCCTTAACATCACACCATTTCCCTTATGCAGCAAAGTATCTGTAAAAACCAAGTAGGGGCCAGGCTCGGTGGCTCAGCCTGTAATCCCAGCACTTTGGGAGGCCAATGCGAGTGAACTGCCTGAGCCCACGGGTTCGAGACCAGCCTGGGCAACTTGGCGAGACCTTGTCTCTACAATAAATTAAAAAATGATCCAGGCATGGTAGCGCGTGCCTGTAGTTCCGGCTACCTGGAAGGCTGAGGCGGAAAGATCACCAGAGGCCAGTCGGTCGACACTGGGGTGGCCATAAGCATTCCACTGCACTCCAGTCTGGGCAACAGAATGAGACTCCGACTCAAAAAAGAAAAAAAACAAGTAGGCAGGTAATTGACTTCTCCAAGGTCACCCATTCCTAGGGCCAAAACGGACTAGAACGCAAGTATTCTCATACCAAGACCAATACAATTTCTATTGTCCTATATTTACTAATGATAAAATGGCTACTAACTTTCATACTGAATGGTAAAAGTTATTTAAACTTACATTACTAGTCTAAACCTGTTGCCCTGAAACTTTCCTACTAGAATTAGGGTAAAGGTTAAATACATTACTCAACATTTCTCACTGGTAAATACTTACATAAGTCTCATTTACTGCACTCAATTGCAGCTCATCAGTATCTGTGAAATAACCAAGTTCAGCAAACAGGGTAGAATCTTTGGACAAAAGAAAAGAATAGAGATTAACTGTCAGTTCAATGATTTGACCAGAAAACAAGCACAGTATCCCTATGCCAGCTCTATTAGGGTTTCTCGTTATTGATAAATTCTTGCAGTGTTAATAACAAGCAATTCAAAGCTTGTTTCCAACTTAGGTGTTGTTTTTCACATAATTTTTATCTTGTGAACTGAATCCTAACACCAAAGATCAACAAAGGTTTTATGTTATATGTCACACTGAACTGACTGGTAGAGACATTCTGGAATATTACTAACAATAATTCTAATGCCACATCTGGGTTCAGCACAAAAAAGTAATGTGTTTGATAAGCAATGATGATAGGAGATGACAACGGAGAGTACACATGTACTGTGTATTTGCAATCCTGCTTTAAGTTAAGGTCACAACCAAATTTCTATCTAGACAATAAAGGATTCACTCACCTAAATCACTGAATTCTTTTCAGCAATCTAACTACATTCCAATTCTCTAATGAGGTTTCATTATAAACAAAGAAATATATGGATACAGAAAACATTCTTCAATAAGCTAGACTGAAAATTTTTTGTAGAGAAAGGTCAAGGTGCTGACAAGGCCCAAGAAGGCGGATTACTGGACAATCTGTAAAGTTTGTTTTCTCTGACAATTTCAAAACTTCAAGAACTTTGAAGAGTTTTTCAAATCTAGGTTCTCCTTTGTAGTCTCTACTATTATCATGCCACTGAAACTGCTCTGATGATTTCCTCACTGCTGTTCAGGAACTACACTGAAAGTCTATTATTAATTAGGCCGATGACAGAAATGCTTCATCAGCCTAAAACAAAACAATACTTAGCAGACAATTTTATATGTAGCAATAACGAAAGGTTGTTCATTTGGCTCTCAGAAAAAGTTACCTTAAACTCGGCTGCAGCACCAAAAAAACAAGTAACTAGATGATCATGGCTTACATACAGGCTGATACTCCTTGAAAGAGTTCTCTATATCAGCTCTCCCATTTCTTTTCTCCCATTCTTTCTTGAATCAATCAAGATTCCCCCCCCTCCATACACAGATCAGCTATTAATGTCACCACTGACCTCCATATTGGTAAATTCAGTCCTCACCTGACTTGAACTATAACAGCATTTGACACAGTTGATCCTTTCATATTAATTGAAGCATTTTCTTCACTTGACTTCTAAAATATCACAGCTGGTTTTTCTCCCACCTTACTGACTGACTCTGTCTTGCTGGTTCCTCCTCATCTCTCTAATATGAAATTTCTCCTGGGCTCAGTTTAAACTTTTCTATTTATTTTTCCTCTGCGATTTCAGCTGAGCTCACAATTTTAAATAGCAATCTATATGCCAAGGATTCCAAGTGACATCTCCAGCCCATACTTCAAGATGCATGTACACACTGAGTACTGACATCTCCTCATAGACGTTTCAAGGGCATCTCATCTTTTTCCTCATCTCAGTTAATAACAACTTTTTCCTCTTCTCAGTTAATAACAACTCAATTCTACTGCTTTTTCCTCATCTCAGTTAATAACAACTCAATTCTCCCAGTTGCTCAGGCCAAAAACGGGGATTATCGTTTCTCTTCCTCACTCTCCATAATCAATCTACCAGCAACCTGTCAGTTCTGTGCTCAAAATATATATCTGTAATCTTGCTTCCTACCTTTCCTTCCATTCTTCCTTTTCTTCCCATCTTTCCTTTCCTTCCCTACTCCTCCCAACACAGAAATGTTAGCTTCCAAGGAAACAGGATGGTGAGTGTGATGGGGTTGAGTGTGTAGTCATCTGCAGCAATATGCCTGATAGCCAAGGAAATGGGATGGTGCGGCAAAGGGTGTTGCCCAGTGGAGGTGGCAGCATGTCCTAGCCACCAATGAAACGTTGCAGTAAGAAGCAGAACAGAGTGGCAGATGGAAGAGGCAGCCTATGTGAATAGGAGAGTGAGTACACTGAACAAATATGTCAAATATGTTATTTGATTGAGAAAATGATACATATGTCTAAAGTAATTGGAGTCATATTTCTCACTGTCTAAGAAAGGATTTAGTCATTCATAAGTAGACCCTGAACATTCATCATAATACCATAAGAGCTGGGCTTGGTGGCTCAGCCTGTAATCCCGTGCCTTTGGGAGGCTGAGATGAGTGGATTGCCTGAGTTCGAGACCCGCCTGGGGAACTTGGTGAGACCTCATCTCTACAATAAATAAATAAAAAAACTAGCTGGGCATGGTAGCGCACTCCTGTAGCTCCAGCTACTTGGAAGGCTGAGGCAGCTACTTGGAAGGCTGAGGTGGAAGGATCGCCAGAGCCCAGCAGGTCGAGGCTGCGGTGGCCGGG